ATTATATTGATCAAAAATAGGCTATATTTTATTTTAGCTTAGAAAGAGTGGGTTAAGCTTATAAAATTGTGTAAATGTACCAAAATTAGTTAAAAAAATTTTAGTGGGCAAATTTGCCTGCTGGACGATTAAGAGATAGATAAAAGTCTTAAACTCTAAAAAATTCTTAAACTCTTAAAAATAATAACAATAATTATGATCACATAAAAATGGTTTTTCATCAACAATGTAATTCTACATAAAACAATACCTTTTTTGGTACAAAGAATCTAACTAATAACTAATATAATGATCAAAGTGGAGGAAACAGGGGAAAGAATTTTACAAGCAATAATTTACTTAGGAAGAAAATAATTGTACGCAATAATTCAAGTTTTAATTTTGCTTGGAAAACAATTATATGTAATATGAATTCTCTTTTTACAAGTAGCTTACTTGGAGAATAATTGTTCATAATATGAATTCTATTCTTTATTAGTAGCCCATGGATCATTCTTTTATACATTTTTTTTATTTCATGTTATTTATTACTTTTAATGCTACTTTAGTTATTAATAAAAATGTTTATATTGAATACTTTAATATTATGAAAGAAACTGATAAGATAAGATAAATTAAAACTAATGGAATTTATTGAAGAATGATGAGAAGATGCTGAAGATGCTGAAAAATGATGAAAAGTAATGACAAATGCTGAAGAGAACGCTAAAAATTAATGACAAATGCTGTATTTTGACAAAAGCAGACATGGAGAAGATCATATTTTTGTGTTATATACCAAAAAGGAAAGCCTGTTTTTTGTATCTGCACGTCAGGAGGAATTTATAATGTTATATTGCTATTTTGCTAAAAAAATCTACAGCAATATTGTTAAAGATCGTGATGAAAATTTGCTGTAACAACACTGAAAATCTATCAGTTTAGGAAATTTGCAATATTCTTAATAGTTGTAATGAGAATTTGCTGCTTTTGCTAAAAAAATCTACTGGTTTGGGAAGTCTGCAGCATTGTTAATAGTTGTGATGGGAATTTGCTGCAATGATGCTGAAAGATTTACCAGATTTGGAAATCAGCAACATTGAAAATACATTCATCCAGCATTAGCGACATTCATGGCTTGTCTTTCACCATTTCATTCCAAAAAGCTGAAATTGAAGAATTTTGTTCACCAGCAGTAACAACATTGTAAATTCCCTTGACGTGCAAATAAAAATAACAAGTTTCCCTTTTTGGTATATAACACAAATCATGATCTTTTCCACGCCTGTTTTTGTCAAAATACAATATTTTTCATCAATTTTTAGCATCCTCTTCAGCATTTGTCATCATCTCAACATCTTTCAGCATTTTATCATCATCTTTCAGCATCTTCCCATCAACTTTCAGCATCTTCTTATCATTCTTCAACATATCTCTATCAGTTTTCGATTCGTTTCACATCAGTTTCTTTTAAAATTATTAAAGTGTCCATTATAAACATTTTTATTGACAGCTAAAGTAATGAATGTCATAATACAAAAAATATATAAAAAATGGCCTACGGGCTACTAATAAAGAAACAGAATTCACATTGCATACAATTGTTCTCCAAGCAAATTAAACTTGAATTCTTGCGTACAATTATCCCCTCTCTAAGTAATTATTGCTTGTAAAACTCTTCCCCTTTCCCCACGTTAATCGCGATATTATATTGCTTGTTGATTAGGTCATTTACACCAGAAAAAGCATTGTTTTCGTGGAAACGTATTCGTATTATTATTGTGAAAGCATTTTTGTATAATCGTTATCATTATTTTTAAGAGTTAAGGCTTTTGTCTAGAAAAACAATGATTTTTGTTAATATTTTTAAGAATTTAAGGCTTTGTCTATAAAAAGCAATAGTTAAGAAATTCCCTGAAACACATAGTCTCTCCCCTCCTCCCCCAAATCAACATAATCAACGATCTCCGTAGATATCGGCACAGGCTCTAGATACTGAAACGATTATTACTCAGTCCAAAAGTCTTGTTGGTTTAGAAATCTCTCAATTCACCCCCAATTTAATAAAATCGCAACAATACTACACTTAATTTAAATTGACTCTCGAAATTTTAAACCATATACAAATAAAACTCAAGCCAATATGCCCATAAATTCTAAAGTTTACCACTAATTTATTTATTAACTGAATATTTGTTGTAACTTCTATGCTCTAAAAACTCAAGTATTCACATTATGGTGGCAATTACATGTATAATCATTTTCGCGATAGAACCATCTCTTAAGAGAACCAACTGTGATTTGAAAATTCTTGTTCCATCATGCAACGAATTTCTCAGTAGTAGGCCCTTTCGTCTTGCACCTTTTTAAGATAAACTTAATGATGACATGAAACGTGAATTGTTAACCCTGGAAGACTAAAATATCACATTGAAACAAAATTGGTCAGATAGAATCGAGTAATAAGACGATTCTCTAAGTAAATGTCACCAATATTTAATTTCCATTCAATACCTTTGTCGGTTTGGTTCAGTATATTCAATGTGATATAAGAAAAGATCTTAAGAAAAGGATCTTGAGATACAGCAAATTTAATTACACCGCAAGCATACATAATTGAAGCAACAATGACAAGGAGTTTGTACCCTTGGTAAATAACAAATGTTTATATTTTGTGCTAATAAAGCCAGAAGAAAGTCTCTAGAATCGCATTTAATTCACCATCAAAGTTTTAACATTTCATTTTTGTAAAGCTAACTCAAAGATGGAATCTAAAAATCCGGTGCTCATAATTGTAGAATAACATTCCAAGCAGATAGTGACGGAATTGGCGTACTACCCATACAACGGCCAATGCTTCTTTCTCGGTTACATTATAGCGTTTTTCTCCAGATTTAAGCTAGACACTAGCGTAGGCGATTACGCGTTCTCGGTTTTGGTCGTCCTTCTGCGACAATACCGCTCCTAGTCCGGTGTCGGAAACGTCTGTGTATTAAGCATAGACCCTTCTGGTCGATTAAATTAATGACTATATTAGTTTGGCTTACGTCCGTCAGACTTAGTGTCGGGTTGATACTTTTATCTTCTAATTCCGAACAAGTGTAATTCCCAATTCTACAGTTTAACAGCAATCTAACCAAAGTTGCCATCTCGAACCTCATTTAGTGGTGTGGTGCAGCATCACGCGAGTAGATTCACTTTGTCTAGAATTGTTTGGCGTAGGTTGGGCCACCCGTCGATCTCAACCTTTAGGGAATCTTGAAGCAAATAAATTTAAACGCAAAGTTGCGCTGAAATCATTACACAATTCAAAGAGAATTTTATAAACGAGGTAAAAATGAGCCATTTCGAAAGTAAAAACAAGATACTTTTTGTTTTCTAATTAAGTAGATTCAGGCTGCTCTAACGTGTGACGATATTCTTTTCGTTATTATGGAATAACTAAAAACTCGGCTACAAATGATACTCGATAATGATGGATTATGCAAAAGATGGCGACCTTCACAAATATATTGAATCCAAATATGAAACATTGACTTGGGAAGAAAATTAAATGAATTATTGAAGGGCTGAATGTAATTCACAAAAAGGAACTTGTGCGTCGTGACCTTCACCCTGGAAATATATTATTTCATGGTCATGCTCAAATTGCCGATTTTGGACTTGCCGGCCCAGCAGATTCTAATAAAAAGGTTTATGGAGTTCTTCCTTATATTAGTTCAGGGATGTTAAATAAAAAGCCATACACCCAAGCTGCAGATATTTATAGCCTTGGGATGATTATGTACGAGATTGTAACAGGCAAACGACCATTCAGTGAGCGGAGTCATGATGCGTTTCTTGTACGTCATATTTATGCATGAGTGTGACCTGAGATACCAGATAGAGTTCCTGGAGGTGCAAATTTATTATTGAAAATTTGGGATCCTATTCCAGAAAACAGACCAACTGTTAAAGTACTTCTCGACTTTATCAGTTCTATCTACGCGTCTAACAACACACTGAACACTTTGCGCTTTCAGTACTACAGCTCTTTGAAAACGCATGAAGAAATTAATGAGTACCTTAAACTAGAAAGAAAAATATTAAAAGAACTTGATGAGAGATAAAATTGCGAAAAAGCATTCCTTCAGATATAATCAAAAATCAACAAATTCGTTCAAATGCAATTTACACCAGTCGAGTATTTACTGAAAAATCAATTACATATCCAAATGATACGGTACTTTTTATTTCTAAATATAAATCATGTTGGCATTTATTATAAAATTTTTTTGAATATTTAGGCCATCCTACGAGTGTTAGTTTGTATGTTCCAAATGTAAACGGTTTCATTCTTAGTATACCATTTGATCTTACAGATGAAATAAGATTCAGATCGTGTAATGGCAACGGTAAATACAACGATTCTATGTAATTGTAATTTCACATGTATTGCATTTACAAAGCCCCTAGAGTCATACTGTTTATAGTCACACCCTTCTATAGTCACCTGATTCAACTTTCCCAACTACATGTACATATATCAGTATACTTTTCTCTTTATATTTAACCAATTTCACTTTTCCAAGGGTGGTGATTATAGAGTTTTGACTATAGAATTTTATTAAATACGTACGTAGTCGATTAAAATAATTTTGCTATTTTGACAAAAAATTACCGATTACCAAAACAATGACAACCGCAAGTGTTCAAAAAAGTCATAATAACCATTTTCGGATGACATCAGTAATTACTTTAAAACGGATATAACATTCGCGTCAACAAACTCCAATAAATTTTGTTTAATATTGTTATATTAATACAGTCAAACCAAAGTGGGTCAGAATTATTAATAGGATGTTTTTAAAATAAAACTATTTTATAAGCTATGTACAGTACCCCCCCAAAAAGTATTGGATAGGCACTGATTTTCATGAAATACTGGTGAAAAACTAAAAACACAGTTTTTCAAGTAATTCTTTAATTATGTTAAAAATCGACTAATAATAAAGATTTATACATCAAATGAAAAATCAAATTTATTTAATATGTAATCGGCACTCCATTTGACTCCAATACCGTTCTAAAATGGCCACATCAATTTTTTCCCACCCCATCTTTAATGCAACCTTTAAGTTCGTCCACAGTCTTCGGAAAGATCTCATTTTTTTAATATTGTCCTTTAATATCTTCCAAATGTTCTCTATTGGGCTCAGGTCTGAAGAATTAGCCGGCCAGTTAATTTTTCCCGCAGTATGAATCGACGCATAGCCTTGTTGAAAAATTGCGTAACTTCCAGTTAACTCCTTAATTGCGCCCGGGAATGGTAATAAATGAGTTTTAGGATTTCAAGGTAAGTATTTGCAGTTATTTTTTCGCCATTTTTTATTCATCACAAAGAATTAATGGTTCTTTTAATTGCTTGGCTCCTAATTTAAAAGTGAACGAAAATCTGTAATGGCTTGGTAGCGTTTCGCGGGAAAATTAACATTAAACTTTTTTTCCAGGATGCCACCAAACGCTTGGCTGCCGTGACTGCTTTCCAACTTCAACACTAGGTTCATCAGAGAAAATTATTTTTGGCCCAATCATACATAAGCGGATTTATTTTTATTTTCTTCACACCATTTATACATGTGTTTCTGAGATATAGGGTTTTCTTTGCTGCGATACATGAGTTAAGTCCGGAGTTGTGTAATACAGTTGATAAACTACAAGTGAGACCTAAATTGTTGACTATTTCGCGTATTGGTGCACGTCTTTTTTCGTTGGCTTCACGTAAATCCTTTCTTGGTTGTTAGGGCGACCACCGAAAGTTCGGATCACGTGACAATTTTTTGATGACGTCAACGATGAGAAAGGGTTAGGGGTTGGCACTGGGTCAAGGTTATTTGGCAATCAAAAAATGTTTTTATAGTAAAATTTCGCAAGGAACATTTTTTATTAGGACATAGACTAGATTTTGAGATAAAAGCTTTGTTGTTTATTTTTGAATTTTTGTATTACACGTTGATTTTGCAATTTAATTGGTCATCATTGCTAACGTCATCAATAAATTGTCACGTGGCCCGAACTTTCGGTGGTCGCCCTGGCGAATTCTGGTTGTTAAGGACCGGTGATCTTCCTGAACGTGGTAAGTTTTCACTTTTTCCGTTCGTTTATATTTGTTAATAAAGTAACGATCGTTGTGGGGTCGCATCCAAGAATTTTTGCGATTTGAGTGGCATTTGTGGTTTCCATGTATGCCCTTTTGCAATTTCGTTAAGCTGCGTATAGGTACCCTAGCCATGACAGCACCAGGATGTAGGGGGAATTGTCCGATCACGTGTTCTGATGATCATGTGTTCTGATGATCTCTGGTCCGGCCATCCATCGGAACTACAATCTGGTAATACGATACACAACGATATTGATGATCCAATTATAACTTAAAAATAATCAATCAATCACTTCGCATTACATGTACTTATTCTGCGATTTCTGTGATTTATTATCATTATGCGAAAATCTGAAGTGATTATTTTAAGTATTATTTTATTTTATTTATTGACTTCTTTGCTTTTTTTTAAAAAAATAATGACAAAATTCATTCTAAATAACGTTTTTTTTTCTAAAAATAATATTATGGCAAAAATAACATCCAAGGAGTTGATCCACACCATGTTGGATCACGTAACCGTCTGTGTTGTGCTGTCTCAATGTCATCCAGCATGGTGAATAGATGATTAGTGTTATTAACAACTCGCATAACATGATGCTGGTTATTGGCCGCGAGTTCTTGCTCAAGATGTTCTGCCATACGCCTTATAGCCGCTACTTTTAGCTTACAAACACGGTGTATTTCCGGATCAAGAGCGTCATCATCTTCATCCATCGCAACATATTCACCATCCAACATGCTAGACTGTGAAATTGAAGGTTGGAGCATACTTACTTCTTCGGATGTGTTTTGCAGTTTTCTGGCATTCCAGACAAGAAAAGGGTAATCTTCTCACCGCTGAAAATCATTGTATAATAGATGAATGCCTTGCGGATCAACCAATTTCACCTCTTCAACTGCGTGATGGACCAAGTGCTTGCAAATGAGAAAATGACTATAAAGAAATGACGGGCAGCTACATATCCAATGATCCAAGTCAATAAAGTAACGTTTCTTGTATCCATCAGTGATCGGTTTTGCGATGAGCTGCTTCCAATCACTTTTGAACTCATCGAACCAAGAAGGTGCCGTTCGTCTTAAGCGCATTTGATTGAGGCGAGTGATCTGATCAGGAAGAATACGCGTACAAATAATCCACACGAGGTAATCCAATCATGGCCGGTTGAATCTGGAAAGATAACAGTATTTAACGATCCTCCAATGCGCTTCAATAGGCATGTTCGTTTTGCCAAGCGGAATCATCATTCGTGTTGATCGAGCCCAGAGTACCCACTTTGACATCTTGTACCAAGCAGACCACAAGTATGTCCAGAGCAAAACAAGATCATTTTCAGCACAAAAATCATACATTTCATGGACTGCACTCTTTCGGATTTCGTCAGCTGTTAGGAACCGTCCGGCAGCATTGATAGGGATTTTTGAGTGCATATTAAAATGCTTTCTGATGAGATCAATAATTTTATCTCGCAAATTCGGTGAGCATATTATGTAGTACTCAGGCTTAATACGTTCCAGATCAGGCTTGAAAGTGGGATCAATAAAATCAAACTCTGTTACAGCTTCATCCGATTGGTATTGATTGCGATGAATTCGCTTGCGACTCTTAAGCTTTTCCTTGATAGCCTTCTCAATATGTCACAGACAAAGCTGTATATTAGCATTGGGCCACACTTCTTTCGCAGCATTAATTTCTGCGAAGTCTTTATCGGTGTAAAAGTATTGTGGTTGCAATCCCTTGTCACAAAGAGAACGAAGGAAGCCAACAAGTGCCGTTGTCCGTAATCCCGTTTGTTCTTCATTGTTTGGCGTCTTCGTAGTATTCAAAATGAGATATGTTACTGGAAATCCTGCACCCTCAATGTTACTGATAATCCCGTAGAGTTCGAAGCGTTCTTTGACCGTTTTGTAAGTCGCATCACAATGTATACTCAACAATGGTAATAGTCCAGCTAATAAAGGGGTTGTGAATCCAATCACTGTAACCAAGTCAGTACTCCAATCGAAACAAAGCTCACTGGCAACAGTATGGGACCCTTTCAAAAAGTGGCGTGCAGAAACTACATGATCTTCATCTGATTTATAAAAGTGCTGGCAAGATGTTGACCACCAATAGTAAATTTGTTTTGCAGTAACAAGCGAAACATCAAACATTTGACAGAGATGTGTTCGTAACTGCACAGGATCCATGTGAAGATTTTGCATAATTTCACGCTTTACTTCTGGTGGGGTAGTAATATCGACAGGTTTCTCATGCTGAATATTATGATGAAATCCAATCATTGCTTCTCTTGCTGGCATGTCGATATGAATGGTCAACTTGCCATGACAATCAAAACGGGTCATTCTCTTTCGGTTTGATTCCTTATATTCACGCTCAAGTTCACGGCACTGTGAACATGCAAGATAAAATATACTGACTTCACGATGGCATAATGACATTTCAGGTCCAGTTGTGAATACCCAATCATATCCATCAAATCCCTCAATCTCATCCACTATTAACTTTACCATATTCTTTGCATCATGTGCAGCAACCAATACATCATCAAGCTCAATGCAAAGATCGAAGGACAGCATGTTATCATGCTCAAGATTAGTGGCTTTGCTGGTGACATAATCGACAACTTCAGATAAAAAAATTTTCTCAATCACTTCTATTTCTCTTTCTAATTGTTGATCGTTTATGGAAGATCGTTTTGCAGCTCTCTTCCTAGACCTCACAATCAAGCAATTTGAACAAGTCTTAAAGACTTTACCTTTGTGAAGAAAGGCTTCAGCAGGTAATTTATGTCTGCAAGTGGTACATATATTCATGTTATTATGAGAGAAAAAAATATATTTTGACAGTTAAAATTCAGTGAATAAATAATTATTTTGCGAGTCCTGCAAAGTAATTATTTAAGTTACACGTTTAATTATCTTAAGAAAAAAATACTTAAATTATTCTGCGAGTTCTACAATAATTATTTTAAGTTACATGACATGTTTAATTATTTTAATAAAAAAATACTTAATTATTCTGCGAGTTCTGCAAGTTACATGTTTAATTATTTAAAAAAAAAACACTTAAATTATTTTTCGAGTACAAGATAATTATCTTGAGTTGCGCGAGATAATTATCTTGAGCTGCGCGTTGAATTATTTCAAGTTACGTATCTGATCTACACGTATACGTATGTCGTATTACCAGATTGTTTTGACATGTAGTTTCGATGACCGGACATGTCGGAGACTGTCAAAACACATGTTCCGACAGCCGGACAGTCCGGATGGTCCGGAGATTGACAAAACACGTGTTTTGATGGTCACATGATCTGACAATCCCTCCTACATCCTGGCGATTTCATGTGAAGTCAAAGTTGGAAAGAATATAATAAATTAATTATTGATATTGGTGCCTCTGGCTGTGTTGCTACTTATTCATTCATCAAAGATATGGGATTGAAGATCCAACGAAGTTCAAATATATCAATGTCTGATATTAATGGAGTCTCAAAACAACCACTTGGAGCTATTGATGA